GAAAATAAGAGAAAGGTTTGGCGTAGTTTATTATTTCCGTAGGTTCCTATGTTCTTTTAGGTCGCTGAACGCGAACATCAGGTTTGCGAACAAAAATGTTGCCCAGAGACACGTTTTTAAGCAACAAATGGGAAAAGGGACGCCTTTTCTCTTCAAAATAACTCAAAAGCCATCCATTTTTCGTAATTAATGGTCCTATATAAAATAAAAGACGATAAAACCACATATCTTTAATGACACGATTTTGTTCTCCTGTTAACGGTTTAGGAGCACCGAGAAATTTGATAGTAGCGAAACATGAAAAAACGGAAATTATCCCATTTTATCTCAATACAACTAAAAACTTATCAATTTTTCATAAATATTAACGTGAAATCAAGATGATAAAATTGACTCCATTTTTTGTGCACGAGGTTTTTTTCTAGGATCAATGGTATCACCGTTAGTGGGCAAAATATGCCTGGTTGTTACTGTGAAAACAGCACTCCACTTAACCTTCCTCACTCACTAACTCCTAATCGTAATTTACATCCAATAAAGTTGTATACATATAAATACGGCGCCTTGTGAATCAGTTTACATTTTAATTGGGAAAAGGGAAGTAGGTAATTAAAAATGTGCGAAAGAAAATTAATATTTTGGAAGACGATCTGCCTTCAGTGACGCGTACGTTTCGAAGGCGATGTTTTATCTCATAAGTCTATATGTGACACATGTTGAATATGTGTCAAAATATCAATCATAAGCATATCTACTTAGATGTTTTTATGAAGCCCTTAATGAAGTAAAAGGTTAAAAAAAATTGCGTACATAGTGTTAGACGACACAATGATTCATACATCACCCAAAGAAACATTTCCTCCTAACACGAATAATAAAAGACGAATTTATTCGATCCGATGGCGGAGATCGCTAAGGCAGTAGTAGCGGTCTCGGAACAGAAGATCGCAGGTTCGACTCCCGCCTTGGACATAATTTCATCCCATCACACAGGCTAACAACCCTGGGGTGTATATAAAAATGGAATCAGCATTAAAAAACGCTGATCCCCCTATAGAAAAGGTAACGTGCGCACCTACCCCGACAATGAAGTCTGGTGGGATGCAATATCGTGTGGCCCCATGATGGCCGATTTGCAAAACAAAAGACGATTGATAGCAACGCCGATTAGAAAATTCCATGCACCAGGAATGAAATGCAAACAAGCGAAGGAAGACGCACACACTCCGATAATGAACACAGCTTTTTTCTTAGATACAGAAATCAGAACATGATTGAAGTTGGTGAGGGTGTAGTAGATACTCGTATGTTGGTAATCTCTTAGCAAGCATGCAAAATGAGACCTTTTTTGAAACACGAGAAAGACAATTTCTTTACCCATGTTTTCCCATTTGCTGCTATAAGTGAAACAATTACCGATAACTTCACTTTCTCACAAGCAATGAGTGGTTGCGAAACCTCGGCATTGGCCAAGCACGGAATAATGAATTTCTGACAGACCACTAATCTTGACGACTAAACAATTCGGAATAATGAATTTCTGACAGACCACTAATCTTGATGACTAAACAATTCTTCGAACTATCAAATGCAACTAATGACATGCAACTAATGACAACTTTTTTGGGTTTCACTATTCGGCTCCAGGGCAAAGAAAATGTCTTTACTTTGACAGTTGAGATATGTTAGCTAAATCTTTCACTAACAAGACAAACATCGATGCACTACCACCATCTGCAGCACAGTAACACTTGGCTACACGCAGAAAAAATCGAGAAGAGTGGAGAGAGAAAAGTTCGAAAAATGGCCTTACGCCTTTGACAACAACTTGGTAGCACTACCTGCTCTACCAGTTTTATTGAAATTTAATTTCTGCAAACGCTCAAAAAACTGCAAAAAAGTGACTGCAAGAAGACAGGAATTTAACTCTTATCTCAACCGCGAAAAGTGTTACAACAAGACATGAAAGGCGAGATACGAGCTATAATACTAGAACAAGGATACGATTATGAAGCCATTGGACCTGACGAACCAATTGAAAATGACTTGCATATACTTCAAGATATTAGAAAATGCTAATTATTAGAAACAATATAATATACAAGAGTTATAGTAATAAAAAAAACGCTAATGCCATTATTTTGCGTGTAGCAAATGTGTATAAAAATCAGGGCCTTCGAAACCCTAAAAGGTGCACTCCATCGTCTTCCAAATTCTTAATTTTCTTTTTCACATTATTAATTACCTACTTTTCTTTTTCCAAATGAAATGTAAATTCATTCGCAAGGCGCCTCATTTATTTGTTACTTTATTGGATGTAAATTACATATAGGAATTTAGTGAGTGAGGATATGCCTTGTGGAGTGCTGAGTGGAGGCATATTTTACACATTAACAGCGATACCATTGATCCTAGGCGAAAACCTTGAACACACTAAATGTAGGCAATGTTATCATCTTTCATTGTATGTTAATATGTACGAAAAATTAATACTCTTAAGTTATATTGAGATAAAGTGGGATAATTCCAGTTTCTTCGTTTCGCTTATATCACCAAATTTCGTGGCGCTCTCACGACTAGACCGTTAACAGGAGAAAAAATCGTAACATTAAAGGTGGGTAATTTTATTTCATAATGGGCCATTAATTACTAAAAATCGATAGTTTTTAAGTTATTTTGAAAAAATGAAAAAAGGGCGTGATTTTTACTCATTTTGATTTTCAAAAACTAGTTTTCAGACACAATTTTTGTTTGCGCTAATTGCTAAGTTTACGATAATTACCCTTGTTAAGCACCAAATGACTGTACTATAAAACAAGAAGGGTGGAGGGACTATACTTAGGTTTTTATTTCTTGGCGCATGAGAGCGTGCCTTTGCATGGGAATATCTCACGACATTCTGCGTCTTTCTCGGTCGTGTCTGCGCAGCTGTCTGAGCAGCTGTCGCATGATCGCTAGCACAGCTTGATACAGTCGCGATCAGGCGACATCAAGCGGCACGACCGAGAAAGACGCGAAATATTCCATCGTGAAGACAGGCCCCCACACGCCAAGACATAAAAAACCCAAGTACACGTTTTAAAGCTCCTCGCGGCCTTCTTTTCCATTAAACTTTTTTATTTTCATATGGCATATTTTACTGGAAAACAAATAAACATTTTAGAGGGTTGCCAGATTGTTTGGACGGGGTATTTCCCAAATGTCGGGTATTAAAAAAATATACATCAATCCCAAATCGTGAGCTTAAAAATGGGGAAAAATTAAGAATTGTTCGTATTTATGGAAATCAAAAGTTCAGTCGTCTGTTAAGAAAAATATGAATGAACTTTATACCCCGAAGGAATGGAAAATCAAAATTGGACGACCGTAAAATACGAAATGCAACACGAATTATAGCTACACGTTTTCTTGAATCCCGGAATATCTACCTCCACTCCTTTTCCAACATCAGTTGCATTAAGAATAAATGATGGCAATGAGAGTTGTCGATAAAATCTGATGACGAATGTTCGCTCCCGGAACAATTTTGTATGGAAAAATGAACTACACATTCGACGTAAAATTCCTTTCCTCAAATTAACCAAACTCCCCACTCCTCTCGAATCTAGAAAAGCGAGGGCTCAAGAAAACGTGTGCGGATAATACGTATAATCCTCGCACGTTTTCTTGAGCCCTTATGTAGCTAAATGCAAGTGGAGTGGGGAGGTCGGTTATTTCTTCAACAGAACTATTATACCAAATTTGTGGCTTGTTTCACAATGCATAATAATTTCTATTTCACGAGGGCGAACATTTCTTGTTATCAGATTGTGCCAACAATGCTCATTACTTTTATTTATTCTTAAATCAACTAATATTATTGAAGGAGTGGGGGAGGTGCTCTGGGGCTCAAGAAAACATGCGCGTACAACACTAGTGTGGCTATGTACGACTTCCGTAAACAAGAACTCTTACATGAACCAGCTGACATTTGTAAATTCTATGATCAGACCGGCGAACAATACCAAATCCAACGATGCAGAAAAAGGATGAAGTCAGTCAATCGGTAGTCAGTACGGTTAAGAGCCCTAGAAAACCGAGTATAGTACGGACTTTAACAAGTTGCAAGACAAACTCACATTGTGCTAATAATAAACAAGACGTCGGCCCTTTTAACATTTCAAGTATTTCATTACTATATTGATTGCAATTTGGCTTTTTGATTCGAGTCAGTATAGTGCACTATAGTGCATTTTTCATTATAGCTTAAGACTGGGAATGTGATTTCAATCACTTTTCATAAATACTCTTAACTGTTTAAAAACTGTATGCTCAAAATTAGGTGTACATTTGTATAGCTTCTTGAACATTTTACCATGTTCATGATCACTTTACACACATTTTATTTATATTGTCTTACACTGTAAAAATCACTCCTACTTTTTTGGCATAGTTTCACATAGTATTTTAAACACATCATGTTATTCCTTGCATACCTGTGCAACTTATCTTATCTCTAATTACATAATATACAGTAATCTTGCCAGTAAGGACCACCGTGCCTGAACAAATCTTGAGAATAGCTATTGGATAGAAAATATTTATGAAAATGATCTGTAAAATGTCTCAAAAATCATTCCTTTTATATACTTGCATGATTAAAATATTCGTTGTTGGGCAATGAAGCCGCACATATTTATCATTGTAATTTACACTACCACTAAGTAAATTTATATGCAAAATGAAATGGTATGGTATCTTCTATCACTCAGAGTATCAAGAATAAAAACTGTTACCATATATTAATTTATTTTCTATATATAATAATTCATTAAGATAATAAAAAATGCATACACTGAAAACTTTGTCAAGTATCACATTGACCATTTTATATTGTTTCTCATAGCTGCTGAGAGCTACAAGGCCCTTAACGGCATCTAGTTGTTCTGCTCGCCGTTGTTTGAACAGTTTGCGAACTGCATCACTCGTTAAGGGCAAATACTAAACATTTTGGTAAAATTATTGACATATGTCCTTAAACATGGTGTCTTGAACTGGCAATCAATGCTAACTGTATTACTTCAAAGGATACATAATTGTTCGCTCTTGTTGATTTCCTCTTGAGCCTTTTCAGCAACATTTACATCAGCTTCTATTCCAATACAAAATGCAATACATGCAAGAGCAACAACCGTGTAGAACATACTTATCATTCACATTCCCGCCTGCACCCAGCAGCTGAGTTGGACAGGGACTTTCCAACACGAACACATCATTTGATATGTAAACACACGACGCCATATTTATTTGGTGCAAGAGTGTACACAAAAGCGATATTCATATGTTTTGTATCATCTGTGTAGCGTGTTCGTTCTGACGTCGTGACAGTTCTGCTTGGTGTTGACAATTGCTGAGAGTTATCACATATTTCATGGTGTCTGGGAGTTGTAGATGAAACCTGGTACTGATATACGTAATTTAAATTTTTCATCATGTCTGGAGAAGATGCAAAATTGGACGTAAGTATGTAGATAACTGACAATATGTGTTATGAGTGCAGGTGGTATGATCTCGAGTGGTAGTAAATGTTGTTGCATCCTGCCCTCTTTGAATGTTCCTTTGCTTCAGTTTCTGTAATATCGAATATAGATGTGTAGCAGTATCCTCGCGTATTTTTGTGGCATGACAATGTTTTTTTCCGCTCGGTTTGTTTTGATTAGATGTTATGATAATGTGTTTTATTAAACTTACATGTAATAGGTTTTTGAAGATTTTGGCGCTTCAGTGGAAGGAGAAATGACTGTGCCCAATCAGCAAAAAAGTCAACAGCATGGAAAACCAGAATTCAATACTTTAGATGAACCTATTCGTGATACAGTGGTATGTAATAATTATTTTAGAATTATTATATTATAAAACTAAACTGTTTAATGAAAATAATTTTTCTTGAAGTGCAAATATTGGATTTCACTGGGATTTGAGCTTCGGACCTTCTGTTATTGATGCAGATGCTCTAACCAACCATGCTATGGAATCAAACCTTGCGTTCAGTGATGCATGTAATGATCTCACAGCAATCAGCAGTGATATACACAATAAAATTGGCATGTAGGCTGAACACTGTGTGCATATCGTTCCACTTCAATTGTCTTCATCCTTCTTGCCAATTGTATCATATATCTGTTCGTCAGTATTTATTAATACAAGTATTTTAGCCGTAATAATTGTCATTTGTAAATCTAAAAAAGTGGACATTTTATGTGAATTTTTAAATCATTAGATCTAAAATGTTAAGTAGAAGGCTGTCTTCCAATTTAATTACAGCTCCAGAATATGAGACTAAATCTATAGTCTCAAAACTTTGAGATTGAGAATATGAGTTTTAATAAACCAAAAAATATGATTAAACAGAATTAATAATTTTTCTAATTAAAAAAAAAAAAAAAAAAATTATTTGTGTAACATGCAACAGAAAAATTCAAGAGTGTTGAGATCTGATTAATAAAAACTGAATTATGGTAACTATAATTTAAATCATTTAATTGTAGATTTGACTGTCAGTTTTTAATGTTATGGAATAGATGATATAGTCTTTAAAAGTGTTGTGCCATGTAAGAATTTATAATGTACACACTCTTACAGTCCTCCATTTCAAGCTGTTAATACTCTTACAGTGCTCAATATCAAGCAATTAATATGAAATATTAAACTATAATTTTATTTATATTGTACTTGCTAAGAATATTATTGAGCACATTCGTTTTGATGAATTCCATGCCATCTCACAACACTTCTTTTAAAATTTCATAATTCAATATATTTAATAGATTGCAAATATAAAATCATGTGCATTTATTTTGGTTTTGTCTTGCACTAAATTGCCTTGGTTTTGGTCAAATATATGAAATGAGTACAGTAACTTGGAGTTAATAGAATCACTTTCTAGATTGAATGGTAAATTGTGCTAATTCAACTTGCGATAAAAAGAAAATCATACCAGTCGGTTTTATGGGTCTTGACCTTTATTTTCAAAACAACCATTTCTTTCATTTTCAGTTATTATCATCTAGGTATTAATTCTATTTTTAACCCCAGATCATGTTGGTTCGCAAGTTGTGGTGAATAGAATTAATGTAAGAATTTTCCAATTTATTCTTAAAGGAGAAAATGGAGCCAATAGGCTTCTTTTCACGAAGATCTAGGCTTATCAGTTCCTCTCAATTCCTGAAAAGTAAGATCTACATCATTAATTAGTGTAGGTCAATCACAAGCACTAACATTTGGCTCAGGTTCATGTCCAATTTCCAAACAATGTCCACATTTCTTGAAATTATTCTTATATTTTCACAAGGATTAACTTCTGTCTTGTGCACGAGTTGAGTCAGAAGTCATAGGAATTTATCCTTGAGCATTGAACACTCCCTTTTCACAGATCCCATCTTCCATTTATTCAGGGTTGCTCTCCACTTCTACTTTAGGGGTCCAATAATGCCTCATCAAGTGATTGTAACATGGGTGGAATTTGAGGGCAAAAATATCATTTTGATATTGTTTCCTAAACAATTGATCAGAGGTCACAGAAAGATAGGTTGAAATGCTATCGCCAATGATAATTTTAAGGTCTTCCAACTTACAACCTGGCATAACCACTCCAAAGGACCTATCATCAAAACACTCACTATTGAACCATCCAGACAATGTTCTATTAAAATGTGTTCCCTTTGGAGAAACTTCAATGCAGAAGTTGTGCAAATGTTGTGAATTGAACACTACACAGGTTGGTGGCATAGACCAATTAGCAGCTCTAGCAAACATGATGGATGTAGCTGATTTTCACAAGTTCATTACTTGTCCAGGATATTTGCAGCCCCTTTCCATGATAATTAGGGTTCAGGTGTTTATGGCCTAACAAATGTTCAAAATGTGCAAACATTTATGACCTAAAGAAAATGAAAATATGACAATACACAAGACTTTTGTGTTTGCATTTTCACAACTTTCCAAATCATGCCACTGTTTAAATAACCATTATTTTGAAAATGTACTTCTAAAATCTAGCACAATAATAATAATAATATTAACCGTTTTTATTATGTTTAAGCTGCGGATTTTTGCCTATTTGCTTATTTTTTACCTTCAATGGAAAATGTAATCTTTCAGGTTACTTATTCATTTTGAATATTGTATGTGAATTTTATAGTACCTATAAATGCCTTTTTCAAAAATAAATGCCCCTTTATGTTTAAATGCCTAAATGTTGCCAATTCTTGTATTTATTAAGAAGCAATTATTCTTACAAAAGAAATTTTTAAATTGTACCTTTTTTAGTTTTTATCCCATAAAGTACAGAGAAATCGAACAACTATTGATAAATCTATTCTATTTTACTACCACCACAGTACAGATATTATGAAACATGTACAAAATCACTTGTGTAGTCAAATTATTTTTTACATTTTTAAACATTTTTTTCACTCAAACATTTTTCTTAAAATTCGAGAGGATGTTTGCTCTCCTTGTAGTGTCATATTGAGGTTTTTATAGTGGCATCGAGGAACAGGGAAGGGAATGTGATGGACTTTGGAAGCTTCCCTGATATTACTACCATTCTTGATGGCCTTGATTGCTGAATTCAATTCTTCTGGTGCCCTCTTTAAGAAATGTTTTGCCTGAGGTCTGGTTGGTAGTTCCTGGGCTTGACATGAATTCAACTGCAACATAAAAATGCAGTAATCCAATTCATTTCAGAGCACACCTTGGTCACGAAATGATAAATTTTAAAAAGCTATTAGCAAAAAGCTAAAACTCCAAAACGTACCGCAACTATTGACTGCTGTATGAACGAGTTGCACAAACAATGGTAACTAACACTGAGTGTGTTTCGTGAGTCAGAGAAAGTAATCCAGACTGGGAAATAAGTTGCTCTGATAACAATGCAATATCAATGTGTTCCTTAACATTGTTGCTACATCAACAATAAACCATTGTTGTCTTCATTTTCAGCAGAATTTCTCCTCAGAACTGACATTTGAATTTTGAATTTGTTAAAATGTGAATCACCCCCCGATTATGGTACAGTAAAATCTGTCTAAACCAGAATGTGTAGAAGCCAGGAACCTGCCTTTACCAGAAGTTAAATGGCATTTTACATAGCGTAAAACGGAACCTCTCCAATGCAGAAATAGAACTGTTTTTTATGTCTTACAGGAGAAAAAACCTTAAACAGAATTGCTGTGAATTTAATGCAATTATAGGTCTGCAAAAAAAAACCATGATTAAAAAAAATAAAAATATCAGATTTATTATATTTAAATTAGATTTTTTTGAATTTAATTGAGATCAGATTTAATTAAGTGATTTATCTATCCTTAATTTTTTTAAAGCAGAAAATAGTTTATCAAACTTTTTGTAATTGTAATTATTGTAATTTTATTTAAAAAAATAAAGATACTGTATATTTGAGAGGTCCGGTGCAAAGCTGCCCTAATCCACAAATTCTTTAATTTTGAGTTACTTATAGTTCTGTGCTGTTGAAACACATTTCTTCATTCAAAGAAATTTTACCATTTTTTGTCCAATACCACACTAATCAAAAAGCACTTATTGTTGAAAACAACTGAATTCATTGAAAAACATAACAATGTTAGCCAGTTTTTGAAATATTAAATTCCATTTAATAGTTGTCTCAGTTAAACTAAAAAATATGGGGAATAATGGTTGTTACTTGCCATTCTCCCATTGACCTTTTAACGGTCATTGGAAGGTATGCTTCCTACTTAAAATGGAATTTTTTCAACATACACATAAAGAAAAACGTGAATATTATTAAAACTAGTAAGATTAATTACAGTTTTCATTAGTTTTAACAATATTAATTTCGTTAATTAAGTTTAAATGAGTTAATAAAATTCCATTTTTATTAATACTCATCATTTGTAAGATGTACTTTAAGTGGCTCTGGTAAACATTTTATTATAGATCTAGAATTATGGACACTGTTGAAATTTTCTCAAAACTAACTCAATAGATATTAGGGTGGTATTGCTGATAAATTAGTTTTATCAACAGACAATTAAATGCTGTATAAAACCTAATTGATTACACTGGTCTACATAATTTTTTCTGACTTTAAGCTAACATCTGATCTTTGTTAATTTGAGGGTTTTGAATGCACAAATCATAACCATTTTTTGCCATCATGGTATTTTAGTGGATGGCTTTTTGTCACCGCTCAATCATTAGAACCCTTATAATAGTCTTGGTCCACAAACAACTATTTTTCTTAAAAGAAGTTTTCATCTCATTTTATACTGTCAATTTTAGATGCCCAAATTGGAGATTCTAGAGCCACAAAATCTAAATTTTATTAATTACTTAATCTCAGAAAAAATGTTGTAATACTTTTGAACGGAGGCAAATGTAACATAATTGCAAGATATAGATTGCATAGAAATAAGTTAATTTTTGTCCTAAAAGAATATTTATCTTGTTTCAGTTGAGGGATGTGAAAGCAGTTGGTGTGAAATTCTTTCATGTTCTTTACCCAAAAGAAAAAAAAAGTTTGCTCAAAGAATGTGAGTTAAAGTTAAATGGATTTTATTTACTTTTTTATTTGTTAATTAATAGTTTTTAATTCAGCAAAACTGATTTTCATGATGTGCTTTTTTATTTCAGGGGATTTGTGGGGTCCCTTGGTCTTGTGTACTTTCATGGCCATGTGAGTGAAGAAATTGCTTATTCATTCTTTGATCCTTTGTACATGCACATTTAAACACACTTCGTTTTCTAGGGTATTACGTGGATCATCCGGATCATCAGATGATTCAGCCAATGATGGTGGACCAGAAGTTGCAGAAGTATTTGTTATTGTGTGGATTGGATCTATGGTTGTAACTCTAAATTCAAAATTATTGGGTGGCAATATGTAAGAATTTCTTCGCCATATATATGTGTGTGCGGGTGTGTGGGTGCGTGCGGGCGTGCGTGTGTATATAATGTGGGGGGTTATATAAATATATATATATTATATCTTAATTATATAATATATATATATTAATATATATAATTTATTTTAATTTATTTTAATTTCTATTATTGAAACTTATATGTATAGTAATTTACAGTTGAATTATATTTACAATAATTATTGATAAATCACTGATATTATCAGATTCAAAGTTCAGAAAAATTGTTGGCATAAAAATTAATTTATTGAGTGTGTATTTACTTGGTAATGAAAGAGTTTGAGCGGTTTGCACAATTTACATCTTGTGAACTTTGCCTCTATACAAACAATTCTCTTTTGAATTTTGAATGTATTGTGCATTTCTGGTGCATGACATAGGAAATTATTGCATATATCAGAATCTAGTGAATGTGTGCAAAAAATAATGTGTATACGCTGCCAACAGTAGAATTTTCTCTAAGAATTTTTAGACCATAATACATTTTTGAGAAATGTTTCATTTACATGATTTATATGGACGCTCCCATTCAAATTAATTTGTATGAATGTCCCAAGAAATTTTGTTTTTTGAGCTACATTGATATTTTTACCATGAAGATTCAGATTGTTGCAGATGTGTAGCATGTTATGAGTATTGTTGAAATATATAGTCACTGTTTTCCAGAAGATTACAATTAGTTTGTTACGTAAAAATCAATTTCAAAGTTGTGCAATGCTGTCTTGGCAACATCTACTAACCCTTCCTGTATTTTGGATTTAAATATAACACTAGTGTCATCTGCAGAAATACCTGTTTTAGAATTACCTATAACTTGTGGCATATTATTAATGTATAACAAGAATAACAACAGTCTCAGTGTTGAGCCCTGTAGAACTCCATCTTTCATTAACTTGGATTCTGATTTATGGTGCTCTAATACTTCGACACTGTAAAAAGTTATTTCTACAATCTGTTTATGGTTTGCAAGATACAATTTGGTCCAAAGTTATATAGATCCCGAATTCAGATTTGTGTGTATGTGTGTCAGTAATAAATTTGTTTATATTCAAAGAAATTTATCAACCTTTCATGGGGGTCTGTGGTTCATAACTTCATATGTACCCCCTTTTTAATAATGGTTTTACTATTGCAATTTAATCATGTCAGGAAACTTTCCTTAGAAAGTGAACAGTATATAAGTGGTTTCAGTCTCGGTCAGTTTGGTGCTTCTATATTATGTTGTGCATTACAAGCTTTATTTCACAGCCATTTTAGGCTGCAAAAGTGAAGCTTTAGGAACTATAAATGATCCATGAAATTCAACTTTAGAGATATGGGTGCCAAAAGTGCAAATTTAAAACAATTAACATTTCAGAAATACAATATTGATGATAGATATATTTATTATATATAGTACAGTAGTATAGTAGATATGCAATATAGATGATATATATCCTTAATTAAATCTGTTCCAGAAAAATTAGATCCTTAAATACGGTCACAAGTTTTTGTTGGAAAAAATGAGTTTCACGTAATTTTTACTTAAAAGTAAACACAATTTATCAACATTTATTTTCTCAAACGTGGCTTCAAATTGTTCAACTTTTCTCTGCAGGTAGAGCAACAGTTGCTTAAAACAGTTGTGCAGACCTCCTTTACATTGAACTCTGGATTTTCAAAATTTGCAAATGTTACAAATTATGCGAGAAAGCTTGTATTGTAACTCCACTAGCATCCAATGACTCATCTTACGGTTGCAATTTTGCTAGTTAATGAGAACAAAATTATAAAATAAAAATTGAAGATAGCATTGAGCAAGGCAACAAATAAGGTTTTGATGATTTAAATAATTTGTTTTACATTATATGATTTAAATACATTTTTTCTCTTCGTGCTGACACAAATCATCAAAACTGTTTTGTCATTCTTTCCTCAAAATTTTACCCAGTTGTGCATTTTTGGGGCTTGCAATGATTTTAATTATTGAAATGGAAAAAATTATTGATTAACAAAGAAAACAGTTGCAATTTATTACACTAATTAAACATTTGTAAAACATTAGAAACTCATGAGGCAAAAAAAGATATAAAATGTCTTCTCTAAATGCCACATCAATTACACTACATAATATGTTAACTATATACAAGAGTAATATTCTTTACTACTGTAAAAAAATGTCAGTTTTCTTTCACATTAGAACAAATGACTAAAATTTAAGTTTATTATAAATTTAAGATAAATGAAATTGAATTTGTATATAATGTTGTTCATGTACTATTACTAATATGAAATTTAAATGCATATCTAAATAAATTTTAAAAAAATATTTAAAAAGAAAATCACAATTTTTAGAAGCTTTATAATCATTTATATTGAGTTGTGATAGGTGTCGACATGCGATGAAATAAAATTTTATTAAAATGAGATCCATATCACAAAAATATGTTTTTATTATTTCAATAAATATAATGAACGTTTTAAAGAAAAATAAATAATTTTGATGCTGTGTCATAATCAATCTCTTTGTTTTCCAGATCATTCTTTCAAAGTGTGTGTGTTTTGGGATATTGTCTACTTCCTACTACAATTGCTCTAATTGTATGTAGAATCATTTTATTCCTCCAACAAAATTGGTTTTTATTTATTCTGAGATTTGTATTGACTATGCTGGGATTTGGATGGGCCACATTTGGTGAGATTTAGAAACAAATCGTTTTTCAAATATTTTCACAATCTTTCTCTAACGTTATCTAATAAAGGTCCTCTTTTTCAGCATCCATGGTTTTTTTGGGAGACAGTCAGCCTCCTGGACGAAAAGCATTAGCAGTTTATCCTATTTTTCTGTTTTATTTTGTGATTTCATGGTTAGTTATCTCACATTCTACAACATGACTTTAAATTATTGGTATCATAATTTTTTCTGAAAGCTCACCAGAGACTGTTTCAATTGAAAAATGTTCATCTATTGTTACTTAAGTTTTTTAATGTGTGTGTGCAATATAGCAGTGAAAATTATAGGGCATGTTAAGTCAGTGTAAATTGAATACATTTAATACATGTCCATAATTGCTTTATCACTGCAATTATATTTTATTAAAAACTTCCAAACATTCTTCAGCAAATTTAGGAACAGTGTATTTTACAGAATATAGTGTAAAGGACAAGATATTACTGTGGTAGATTGTGTGAAACATTTTTGAGAAGAATGCTTGCACATGTATAGCATTTATTGTCTTTGTGATGTATGTTCCCAACATGGAAAGGGTAAATGAAAGAAAATTTGTGCACATAAAAGATATTGTGATTCATTTTCATGAGTTTTGTTTGCAAGAGTACTTCTAGTGTCGTCTTGAAGAAAATTGGTAATATGTGATTTGTAATGAAGAGAAGGGAAGATTTTATTTTCTCAGTTCTCTTTTGTGTTATAAACACAAGGCTCAGTTAAAATCTTGTGATAAGCATTGTAGTTATTCATGAGAATAAATGAGACTGGTAATGGTTTGCCATTCCAAGATTAGAGAGTAAGAAAATAATGTAGTTCAGTCTCTATTTTGAGATATCTAAAAAATCATGAATCACGTTACAAAATAATTTTGCCGTGACTAGAGGGAATATTTTTAAAAGTTATGACACTTTTTCAGTTGAAATGTTCCATTATATGATTCATGGTTGTTTTTGTTTCATTATAAGAAAGGCATAGAATTTTGATGTGTTTCTCTTCTGTTACATGTTAAATAGTAGTATTAAAGCACATAATATATATTGTATGAGCTTATTGTGTTTTCGGAAGATAGGAATTTGCTGATTGTAAATTGCTAACTATGAAACCCTTCATTTAGCTATGGAATGTATTCATTTTAGATACTTATAGACATTTCTAAAATTGATGTAAGAACCATTTACATACCGGAAGTAAATGAAATACCAGTGAATAAATGCAAAAATAAGTCTGACATTAACATGGATTCAACTTTTGTCATTACAACTTGCAATTTTCATTAGTTTTTTGGTGGGGTTTCAAAGCTTGAAATAGTGCCAATTTACGTCTGAAAGTATAAAAGACCGTAAAAAATGTTCTGCATGTGTTATGTACATTCATTTCCTTCCAAAAACATCAGTGAAACCATTTTTAGCAGTAGTTTGAATGTTGCCACAATAAATATGTGATATCTGTTGATTACTTGTGATGAATATTTTGCAACACTGATTTTTCTCACATTATACATTTGTATCCTGTTGTTCCTCATGTAATAGTTTAGCAGGTTCTACTTTAGAAAAAAAATTTCTTAGTACTGCAAAATGGGGTGACATCAGTTATTGAAATGACTTCGAACATATTCATACTGTTGTTGTTTTTTCTTTTCTTCTTTCCCTTCTTTTTCTTCCTTTTTCTTCTTCTTTTTAATCCTTTTTTTTCTTTCCTTTTTCTTCTTCTGTTTTTTCATCTTTTTTCTTCCTCTTCTACTTCTGCTTCTTTGTTACTTACGTGTACATCTTCTTCGTTTTCTCTAGTTTGCTTTGCTTTGGTCACGCTTAGTCGCTTGCGCTCTCTCTCCTCTCTTCTCTCTCCACGCAGAGTGCAATGCGGGCGGTCATATTTATTCCAGCAATAATGCTTGGCCCAACCTCTCCTCTCGCAGTTGAGGGGTGGCAAGTGGCATAAATAGTGACGGGTCTGGGTTGTCAGCACACAAATAATGTAGTGGTGCTACAGAATGGCACATACTTTCTCGTTCTAGTTGGTTTTCTAATTTCTTTGGTCTGGGCCAACTTTACATTCTTGCTCCAGCTGCCATCAATCACCGCCCCTAGTCCATTTTGTTTAAAACTTTTCGGTTTCCTAATGGTTGAATCAAAATATTACTTTATGAATATTAAAGAAACAGAAAACCTCTTTCTATAAGGAAATTTTTGTGGAATACTTTGGAGCCGTTTTAAAGAAAATGGTGTTTAAGCGTTAATGATAAATTTCAAACTCTTTTTCACAGAACATTTTTGAGTTTTTAAAACTTCCTTTGAAGCACTTCCACTCATAAATGTAATAATGTTTACAAATCGGAAATGGAAATGTGCATATTAGCAGAGTGAAATATTTCAAAAATATTACATTTGTGTAAGTTTTGAAAAAACAAAGGAATACCCCAGAATGAATTTTATGCCATCTTAAACAATACAATTAGCACTCTCCTTACAAAAAGTTTGAAATAAAAATTTGGAGCCATTTTTGAGAAAATGGCGTTAGAGCGTTTATGAAAATGTGTAAATTTGAACTCCTTTTCACAGAAAACTGTTGAGTTTTTGGGAAACTTTATGTGACATTATTTAAAGCACATGCGCTTATAAATACAATAATGTCAACAAATTGCCGCTGATGTAAATATCAACAATGTGAGAGACAAGTGAAAAAAAAAAATTTTTTTGTAATTTTTGATAAAACAAAAAATATAGCAATATGGCATTTATGCCATCTTATAGAGTGCATTTAGCACTCTATAAGACCAACCAAAAGTGTAAAGAAAACATTTGAAGCCGTTTTTGAGGAAATCTTGTTTTTTGTAATTTTTTAAAATAAAAAATTTTTATGTATTAATCGTCATTGTTATTTAGTTTACAAACAAAACATTGTTCATAATAATCAGCTTTAAAAATGTGTCATGATTTTATAAAATATACTATTCACAGAAGGGGATTAACAACTTTGTCGCCTGTAGGCACACACAAAATGCCGCCTATTTTTTTTAAATTACCCAGGGAAAGAAGTTTTGTATAATAACAAGCATCATTTGTATTAAAAAGTGAAAACAAATTTATGACTAAAATTAATTATAATTTAATGAATAATGTATGCATGTTAACTTTTTCTACAGGAAATCTATTAATTTAGTAATCATATATTTTAATGTATAGAAATAGCCAATTTTCTACCTTTAATTCTTAAAATTATGTAGATATCTACATTTAACACCAGAAGACTTGAACAAAATAAGATGTCTTCAAACAGATGATCAAAATTATATGGGATTAATAATTTTTAAAATTTAGCATATGAATAATTTATGTTGATGTATCACAAAAACTGCTTTTCGCTAATTGTTATTAACCCATTACCAGTCAAATTTTATTTTTTCATCCAAAAAATGGTAATTTGGTGTTATTTATGTTGCAATGAAATGAATTACGTCCCTTTTTGAAATTCAATACATTTTTATTGAAAAAAGTACACTTTTAGGAGAAAACCCCAATTGGGGGATCACAACTGTTCATGACTATTTTCTATGCCATGTCTTGAAGCACTCCATATGTAGTCCTACATCACATTTTACACATTGTTTACATACATTCCTCTTGCAAACCTATATTTGTCCTCTCAAGAAGGTGCCAAATATTTGAATATCTGATTTATCTTGGTAGACGTGGCCCTCCGGTAGGATGGTCTTCCTCTGGCTTTTGGGTCTGATAATTCCGATGAATGTACCAAACATGCTGTAGGAACAGCTCTTCAGAAAGATAGGAGAATTTTACCATTGGCCATGCAATAGACAACTAATGCAATATCGATGGCATCTGTATATATTGGGAAATACAATTTTTTCCTTTAATTTTTGTTCAGTACTTATTCATATTCCAATCTAGCTTATCAACTTCCCCATATTCTTATTGTAATCTCCCAAAAGGTGTGGTTGAGGAACCTTTATTTCTTTCCTCTGAGACCTATTCCATCGTTTCACTTGTGAAAGTGACTCAACTACTCCAAAATTAGTCAACAATTTTACATAATTGTTGTCTTTCCAACCAACACCTGAAACTTCATTCTTAGTGTCAAACATGTAGTTGAATACTCCTTTTTCCTTTTTTTTATCTCTTCATCTTTGGGATGAGACATCCATTTGTTCGGGATATTTGCACAGTACCTGTTCCTCTAATGCCAATGGCTTTGAAATGCATCATTAAATTGAAGCTTGTAAAAAGTTATCAAAATAAACCCCGTGCAAAGGTGGGGTTTTCAGTAGACTTGACAATTTCGGTACAACACTTGGTCCAAGGCCCAGATGTCCAGTTTTTTCTATTTCTTTACACTTACCCTCATATCCTTGGGGAAGCAATAACCTGTGGTGGAACAACAAAGTGCCTGTTGTTTAAAACCAAATCTGACAGGATTTCCTCGTATATATTGTTTCAAAAAGTGATGTCCAAAGTAGCAGATCATTTGTTCATCTATACTGAGACACTTTGCGAAAACATTGAACTTCATAAAGTTCTCATTGAGTGCATCAAGTAGTTAGACAAGAGAGTAACATGAAGGTCAGATTTTGAACAATTTTTCTCTCTCATTAATGTTTATATTATTTAATTTTGAATTGTCATTCAAATACAGAAAACGATTGATCTCCAGATATGGAGATCGACTCGTGCAATTTATGATGCATTGCATATATGTGTTATTATCTTCACACCAGTACAACTTCTCTTGTGAAAGAGAATAGTAACCTGTCAGTATGAGAATTCCAATAAATTTTCTTAGACAATCTAATGACAACTGATAAACATGGTTATTCTGCTGACTTGCAAAATGAACACTTTTTTTTTATACCTATCATCTCCATAACCGATTCACTGAATAATTCTTCAAAAACAAACAGGATCCTAATGAATCGATAATATTTTGTTGACATACATTAGTATCATCACCAAAGGAGTACGTCATAGAATACTTTCTCTTTTATACTTTTCCAAACATTATCACCCTTTAAAGACGCCTGTAGTTTTTCTTCATTTATTTTTCACATAAATACAGCATACACCATGTATGAAGTATATGTCGGAATGTGTATATTGTGGCGTCGTTAACACGAGGGCCAGAACCGTTAGGTTGGTGAAAGTACGCTGCGGGGGAGGAAGGGGTTAAGCCTGAACATCCGGAGTTTGCGCTCTGGCGGTTGACTCATGTAGAGCCGCAGAGCCACAAAAATACCGTTGGCTGTAAACTCCGAGGAGGCTAGCTAGCGTGCCTCAACCGGAAGCAGGCGAGCCAACCCTGAGAATCCAGTGTGGGGGCGTAAACCAAGGCTGGCCAGCGAGTCTCGCGCCAGCCGGCGGGCCTATCTATGGAACAGTGGTGGGGGTGTCAGCCTCAACTATTTAACGCGGCGCCATCTGCGCCCGCGTTCTCATTCAGTTTGCATCGGGTAGCTTGTACGTGTATGTACAAGGAGGGTGTAGGAGTGAGGGCGAGATGTCCGGAGAGTAAGGGCCAGACAATCTCACGTGCTGTAGGCACACGGTCGCCACGACCGGGTTAACTTTGGCGTCAGGCCATGTGACGGTAATTGTCACGGGACAGAGGTCCGACGGCGCGCATCACGCGTGGCTTGTATTTTCTGCGGTAAAGCAGTGTTCCGAAAGGAAAAGGTTGCCGGAGTGTTTTAAAATTAGCAATTCATTGTAACTTGTACATAATCTTTGAATATATTATTTTTATTTTGTTATTGAAATTTATTTCTTATTTCACTACGTCACAATATAATCATACAATGCACAATATAGGCATTTCTAAAAATTAAATGCTAGACTTCAATTCAATGTATACACTTCACTCTTTGAAACATTCATTTCCCCTAATCTTCCTGATTTTGAAGTTGATGGCTGCAGGGTTGTAATAGTCCCGATGATAAAGAACTCGATTGGTCCATTAGAAATGTGGACTTCTAAGAGCCCAGGAACATAAGAAATTTGCGACCCCGATTCCTCGAGATCATCGTCATCTTTGTCTGAGACATCATCTATTAGAACACTGTCAGGAGGAAGTTCCACGATATCGATATCATCTTCATTTTCTAAATTGTCATGAAATTCATCTGATTCGAGTATATCTTATACTTGTCGTAAACCCAGATACTTATAATCGCCCATATCTAATCTGAAATCACAAAAGGAAAAATAACGAAATTGTAATGTCTAGAAATGATGTGTTTCCCAAATGGGGATCGTAGTTTTAAACATCCTTCTGATCGAATTTACTTCTAAATAATAACAAAACGTATTTCAACGTACTATAGAAACCTAAGGCAACAATGTGCTGAAAGATCTTAAGTATCTAACAATTACAAAAATTATATTAAAAATTTTAAAATGTTTATGAATCCTGGCATTACTTTTGTTGTGGACTACTTTCAAATTAGTTGGATTATCCGCGCACGG